GTTTCCCCGTCAGTCCCTGAAGCTGAAGTCGCAGACCAGGGACAGGTGGTCGGAGGGGTAGCTGCGGGAGGGCAGCCGGTCCGGCCCCACCTGCTGCTCGCTGGGCAGCTCCAGCACGCCGTCCACGGCGAGCGCGCGGCGGCTGAACCACACGTAGTCCAGCGTGCCGCGGCTCTCTCCCGTGGCGCGGATCTTCCAGGACGTGAACTCGGGCTCGCTGAGGCCGTCGCGGCTCAGCTGCTTGCAGGCGGAGTCCAGGCCCAGCGGCGAGGCGGCGAAGCGCCGGTACACGTCCTCCGCCGGCGCCGCGTTGAAGTCGCCGCAGACCAAGATGGCGTCCGGGGGGCGGGGCCGCGCCGCCAGGTGGCGCAGCAGGTCGCAGCCCTGCGCGCTGCGCAGCCACTCCCAGCCCGCGCGCGCCTTCAGGTGCACCGACGCCACGGCCAGGGAGCGCCCGCTGTCACGGCAACGCAGCGTCGTCACCACGGCAACCTGAGGGGAGATGAGGTCAGGTGAGGGTCCTACAAGTGGGGGTCTGACCGGGTAGGGGCCTGGCTCTAAAGCCCGACCAGGTGGGGTGGGGGGGGCCAGGTGGGTGCCTGACAGGTGGGAGTCCGACCAGGTGGGGGTCCTCTACCCGGTCTCACCCTCACCACCCCCCCCCACCCCCCACCTAGTTGGACTCCCACCTGGTCAGCCCTCACCTGGCCGGCCTCCGGAGCCAGGCCCCCACCTTTCGGATCCCCACCTGGCCCCCCCTCCCACCTGGCCGGGCCCTAGAGCCAGGCCTCTACCTGGTCACACCCCCACCTGTCGGGCCTCTACCCGGTTGGCCCCCCACCTGGTTGGACCCCACCTGCCCCGGAGCCCCCCGCCCTGGCCCCCCCCCCACCTGTCGCCCCCCCTTTGTCCAACCCCTACCCCCCCCCCCCCCCCCTCACCTGGTTGGTGGGCACCATCATGGCGTTGAGCCTCAGGCCGGTGCTGTCCAGCAGCTGGAAGCGGCTGCGGTCGTAGAAGAGCGCGCAGCCGTCGGGGCCGTTGTTGCCGGGCACCTGTAGGCACGGCGACCAGGGCTTGGGGCAGAAGTGTCCGGCGTAGCCCAGGCCGGCCAGCGCGGGCCGCAGCGCGTCGTGGAAGTGGTCAACCTCCTGCAGGCAGAGCAGGTGCGGCCGGTAGCTCAGGATCTCCTCCAGGATCAGGGGCTTCCTCCAGGACCAGCTCAGGGCCTCGGGGGGGCAGCGCACGAACCCGTCCACCCCCTCCCCCAGAGCTGAGGGACAGAGCACAGGGGGGTCAGGAGGCCCGGGGGGGGCGCCGAGGGGCCACTGACGGGGCTGGAAGGATTTATGGTCGTTAAAAATAGGCTGACAAATATTTTTAGCTGTTAAAATGAAGCTGAAAAATATTTTTAGGTGTTAAAATGAGGCTGAAAAATATTTGTAGCTTTTAAAATGAGGCTGAAGAATATTTATGGTCATTAAAATGAGGCTGAAAAATATTTTTATTCGTTTAAATGAGACTGAAAAATATTTCTAGCTTTTAAAATGAGGCTGAAAAATATTTATGGTCTTTAAAAATGAGGCTGAAAAATATTTCTAGCTTATAAAATTAGGCTGAAGAATATTTATGGTCGTTAAAATGAGGCTGAAAAATATTTATGGTCATTAAAATGAGACTGAAAAATATTTCTAGCTTTTAAGAGGCAGAAAAATATTTCAAGCTGTTAAAATGAGACTGAAAAATATTTTCAGCTTTTAAAATGAGACTGAAAAATAATTATGGCCGTTAAAATGAGACTGAATTTTTTTTTTTGCTGTTTAAAATGAGGCTGAAAAATATTTATTGTCATTAAAATGAGACTGAAAAATATCATTAGCTGTTAAAATGAGGCTGAAAAATATTTCAAGCTGTTTAAATGAGGCTGAGGTGACTTATGGGCCAGCTCACAGGAGAATGAACACCGGAGGAAAACAAAGATCTGCTCCTGGACCAGGAGCCCCAGCTGGGGTTTTCATGTCATTTTCCTCCATGTCTGAGCTGTTAAAGGTCAGTTCTCGGCTCTCAGGTGGACGGAAATGGGCCCAAAGTTAGCCTTCGCTTTTGGGCTAAATAGCTTGATGGAGCTCATTTCCAGGAGAAAAATCAGACGGATTTATGTCAGAGTTTGGAACCCGTCTGCCATTTTCAGGCACTTTTATGGAAGAAAACGGACTTATTTAAGTTATTTAAGCATGTTAACTTGAACCGGAGACGGCAGGAGCTTAAACTGTGTGTGAATACGATAAAAAACACCCACAGACGATCCATGAAAATAAAAAACTCTACAGCGTAGGGCTGCTACAGACCTTGGGCGAGGATGTTCCACTGCATGACCCGGATGGGGCTGCGGGGGGCGCCGTCCTCCCGCCGGAGCTGGACGAACTTCCTGTGGAGGCGGGGGGGCCGGCCCCTCAGGGCCTCCTCACACTGCCGCAGGAGCTGGTCCCGGTCCAGGGGGCAGGCCGGGGGGTCCGGGGGGCAGGGCGGGGGGGCCCTCTGCTCCAGAAACACACAGAGGAGACGGTAGGAGGAAAAAAAACAACTAAGCCCTCAGCTCTAAAACATCAGCTAATGACTTAAATTAGTCATATTTCTGTTTTTTTTACAATTAAAAAGAAGTCCAAACTGGATTTTTAAAGGGTTCAGATCTTTGTAGTGTTTAATAAAGTTTTGAATAAACCCAACCCGGTAAGTAAAAGATGAGTCAGCAAAACAAGAAGAAGAATCCACTCAAATGGAGCTGAACGTGGAGCCGTTTCCATAGAAACCAGACAGAGCTTAAAGAAATGTCATTTTTCTACTGATGTGCTGCAAAAACTGGAAGTTTAAATCCAAAGTTTATTAGAAAGGAGAAAAATGAGTCAAATGGACCAGAATGTGATTCCTGTGTTAAAGATCAGCTTTTAGTGGAATGGAGACCCCTGAGGGTCAGGGGGAGGACTCTTGGTTAGCTGGACTCTGGTCTGAGCCCTGGTCTTGACTCTGTTAGCTGGACTCTGCGTTAGCTGGACTCTGGGCTAGCTGGACTCTGGGCTAGCTGGACTCTGGGCTAACTGGACTCTGGTCTCGACCCTGATCT